TTTTTAAAATTATTAAATATTATCTAATATTAATTTTTAAAATTATTAAATATTTAAAAATTAGCTAATATTTATTTTTATAAAATTTAATTTAATAATCTCAACATATAAATATATTTTTAAAATCAAATTTACCATGGTAGAATCAAATTATCATATCCAACCCAATAATTTAAAATTTGAGAAATTTGAATTGACTTATCCAAACAAAATATTTTAAGAATGATAGAAATTGAAATCAAAGTAATTCAAATACCAAGAATTTAAAATTCCTTGACTTTGTAAAATTCTTCATCCAAACACACCATAAGAGTAAGTCTATCTAGAAATACTCTATTCAATAATTCATGTTCTACATCAAATTTTAACGATTCAATCGTTGAATTTAAAGTTCTTAATGTATAGATCAAATCTGCAAATTATTAAAAAATTTGAAAATCATTTGATATTGTGTTTCATTAATTCAAATCAAGATATAAAATAATTTTTTGATTACCCGTCGATTTGGATATTTAAAATGAAATATTAAATGATTTTTAAATTTGCAAACTTGATCTATGCATTAAGAACTTTAAATTCAACGGTTAGATTGTTGAAATTTAATGTAGAATATGAGTTATTGAATATAATAAGTTTAGGTAGACTTACTCCTAAAGTAAACAAATCTCTCATTTTATATATATATATATATATATATATAATTTTATAATTTTTTCTATCAAATTTTATTGATCTCTGGGTTGAATTTTTAAAAGAAATTGGCAATACTTAAAATAATCGTATATCATAATATACATTTAAGATATAATTATATATTTAAATATATTATTTATTATATAATTTGATTTAATTATAATTTGTATAACATAAATATTTATATTGTGTGTTGCCTTTATTCACTCTCATGGTTAACACTGGAATTTTCATTATTAGCAAATGTATTTTCATTGGTTATCAATCAAACAAATAAGTACAAGTTTTATTATTCTCAATATATTGTGTCTGTTATGGATGTCACCTTTTATGAAACTGAATCTTTTCATATCAGTCCTCCACATCAAAGTGAGAGTAAACTAGAAGCTCAATATGAAAAGACAAAGCAGGAGATTGTTATGAATCTTCAGGTAAGATTGAGTCACGGATTCACGGGCCTAACATGCAATAATCCTTCTTGGTTCTTGCCACCTATGGTCAAAGCAAAAAGTAGACTCGTCCTTGACAGTCCCCCCTGGACTAACATAAGTTTTTCTGAAAAATATTTCTTATTGATAATATTTCGATCAACTGTGCCTTGTAAAAAGCTACAAAGATATCCCTAATTAATAAGATCATAACTAACAATTATCCTAATCTTAATTGATAAAATAATGATAAACAAATCCCTAATTAGTAAAATCTTATCCAGCCATTATCCTAATTAAAATAAGAATCTAAAGTCGGGATTTTAATATCTAGATCTTATTAAGATAGAATAAGATAAAGAAACACGATAAACTGAAATAAATCGAGATTTAAATAAAGAGATATGATAATCCTAATTTGTGATCCACATCAGAGACGTAAATAGATTATATCATAACTATTAACTAGTATTGAAGGTGAAAGAAACTCACTTTAATCCCACAAGAAGTTTGGTTGTCCGATTCAAAGTTAAGTATTCTTAATCCTGGAAATATTATTGATGAGTTACCTAAAGTACTACTAAAGACCTACTACTTGCCTTAAGGAAAGGAAACAGATTGTGTGCTAAATATTCTTCATCTCAATTTGTGTATACTAGTTATCTCTCTGCGCAACATTAGAGTTTTGTTCCAAACACTACTCAAAAGGGCTTAAAAGGAGGAAAACTGAATTCATGCCATGAATGAAGAGATGGAGACATTAAAGAAACTCAACTTGTGCTCAACTTGGGAGATTATAGACAATCAGAGAGATAATCAGGCAGTTGGTCGTAGGTGGATATATATTGTGCAGTATTGATCTGGCACCCTGGATCAATATAAGGCAATATGGTAAAAGGATACATCCAGACTTATTGGATTGATTCTGAAGAGACATTTACTCCAATAACAAAGATTAATACAGTAAGGATTATATCTTTTCCCTAACAGCCCATTTGGTTGGGAACAACAAAAAATTGATGTTAAAAATGTTTTTCTACATGGAGATCTAGAGGAAGAAGTAGTGTACACAGACCCCTTCAGGATTTGATTCTCATGATCAGAAGAATAAGATTAGCAAAGCTAAAGTGGTTTAGAAGATTCACCTAGATTATGATATCTTTAGGGTGCAAACAAGAGTCAAGGTGATAACACCCTTCTCATAAAACATTTTTCGGAAAGCAAACTAATGCTCCTTCAAATCTATGTGGATGATATGAGTATTCTTTCTTTTTTCTAGTAACCATTCTTTCTTTAAGAAAACTTGACTAACTACTTTTAGTAAGATCTTTTCTCTCAACTACATCTTTTTCATATATACTAGACTAGAAATCGAGTCCTATCTCAAGAGAATCAAGTCTAATTCCATTCAGACCAATGACTTTGTGATAGATGACATGATTATTCTAAACACCAAGAAAGAAGCTACCAACTTAGTTTGAGATAAAGAAACTAGAAAAGTTTAAGTGCTTTCTTGGGATAGATGTATAGAAAGCAACATAGGGTGTTTCACTGGGCAGGAATATCAATACATAATTTATGAAAAAAGCTAAAAAAATAAAAAATGAACCCTCGAAAGCAGCTAGATGGATGGAAGAGGAAACACATGAATCAGACAAAACAAGGAACAAAATGGCAAACGTGCAAAAATCACAACGAAAATGTCTATTCACATAAAATCATATTCAAACCATTACAGCCATTAGCAGTAACACAAGACCGATCGTCATCCACTACATAATATTCTCATTGCCTAGCGGTATAGATAACTTGCCAGCTTTATTGAACACACGAGCAGAAGAACTCTGGAAACCACACCTCTGGCTATAAACTTGATAGTCACTCCCTTGTGCTCTCTTTAATCCATTCTAAATATTTAAGATTTCCGCCAGTGATGGGTAAGGAGATCACCTCAGGCACTCTGAAAAAAGAAAAAGGTAAGAAGCATGTGAATGCACTACTGTTTTCATTAATTACACCTCGGTTCATTTACATGGATTTATGCCTAAGTTCTTGAACCTTAGCTAATATATTGCTTAGGAATTCCATTTGCCAAGCTTTCTTAGAGGATCAAATAGTAAACGCAACTCAAACTTCTCATTCAATGAAGCAAAGTTAAATTTTATTGCCAGATTATTTAGTAGATGTATGGGCCTTACTCATATTGATGATTTGCTTTGATATGCTCTGTCAGTGCCTCCAGAAGGGATTGCCTAGTCTTGATTATAAGAAGCTCCTCAGAATCAGTCTGGATCTGTCAATTTGCAACACAAATCTGGAAAAATCAAGCTACAACAACACTTTCAAATAAAACAAGAGCCTTAATGCATGCTAGAAAATAAGAATTTTTAATGTTATGATGGAAGAGTTTTCAAACACTAGCAATTTGGATCTGTCAATTTGCAACTTGTGAACCACATACACCTCTCTCATTTGAAATGTCGCAGTGTCAAACATATTTGACATTCTACACATGTTGGTCACCTTTCATTAGAAGTCTAATTAAAAAATGTATTTTGTCAACTCAGACACTTAAATTCACACTTCCATAAAGCTGGTCACTTGAGTTAACAGCTATGAGTAGACTGATTAACATCAATATTCATTTTTTAACTTTTAGATAAATCAGCTTGAAATATAATATAAAATGTTAAAAATAATGCCTTTATTTTTTTTACTTTCTTTTTGTGAAGCTCATTATCATAGAAAAAGATGTAAAATTTAGCAGGTTGGTTTGAAAAGATGAATACACCTTTCTTTAAGATTTAATTTCAAATTATTTTGGGATTCTTTTGTAACGAGACCAAGGGCTTATATAGTAAAATAATGTCCTTTAATATTCTTTTGCAAGGCTCATTATCAATAGAAAGAAGGTGAATATACAAATACTGAATATCAATTTAGATCTTTGGATATGTTACTAATATTTCATTTCATTTGAGTTTCTCCCTCCCACCCCTGTGTGTGTGTATGGCAGTGTCCTATATTTTAGACATTAGCCATGTTGGAGCTTTCATGTCTGTGTCAGAGCGCATGCTTCCTAGCTTGCATTTGCAACACAAATATGGAAAAATCAAACTACAAAAATACTCTCAAATAGCTTTTCCTTATACAAGTTCATAAGAGCCTTAATGCATGCTAGAAAATAAGAACTTCTAATGTTACGATGAAAATGTTTTAAAACCAGAGTATCTTATCTGTTACTATTAGTAATTTAGCACTATAACAGCATTCTTGTCAATGGAGATATTGTGTACCTTTCCCTCCCACTGGTACATTGATTCAATACCTGCAGAAGACATAATCCATTTGGCTTTTATTAAAAGTCAGAAATGGTATGCAACCTACATAGAACTAAGAGTATCTAAATTGGATAAAGTTCTCAACAAGCATTTAAAAAAGAAGAAAATATTAAATAAATAAATAATATCAAGAAGGTAAAATGAGTCAAACTGCTCCTGTAAATTAAAATTAATTGTTGTAACTAAACTCAACTTATAAGGAAACTAAATGAGGGAGCTTCTGAAAAAGTTGAGATGTATTAGTTTAATTTTAACTTGCAAGATTAAATTTGGTTCATTTTACCTCCTTAATTCAACTAACTCTCTTCTTCTATAAGTACTTATTGAGAAGTTTATCCAAATTGACTCATAGTCATCTTGGTGAGAAAACAAATTCAAGGTTGTTAAACTCTGAAGTTAACCTGTAAACTCTTGTGAGTAAGAGTTTACGATCCTAAGTAGAGAAAACGAGTTAACTCTATAGTAACCTCTTTTTTGGGTAAACTCTCTAAACTTATGCAAACATTTATAAACTCTCAAGTCAAGAAGTGAGTTAGCAAGTCTAAAATCAAATGTAATTTTTGCCTCGTTGACTTCATAGTGTTGGTGTTTTACTATGACTCAAATGATTTGAAGAAATCATCTCGTTTTTTAAATAATTTCTCTCTAGGAACTATGTTTTTATGAAATTATATATAATTTGATCATTTATGGAGTTTAATCCTATTTAGTTCGAATTGTACTATAACACTTTATTATTGCAGTTTAGTACTTTTGCCTTCTTATGCGGTTGAAATGTTGTATTAAGAGTATTATATTATACATCTAAGTGATTAATTTGTTTTTATAATAAGTAAATATTTACAAGTTCACAAGTCAAACCTACGAGTTTAGGTAAGCTCTCGGGTTTGACAACCTTGAACAAATTGACTCAAACCCATATCAAACTCAATCCTTTCCACCCTACCAGACATTGGCACCGGTGGACATGGTCACACACCCCATAACTCCATCCATAAGTGAAACAAGTATATAATACGCCCAGAGAGAAGATATAAGATAGGTAGTGGAATTCATTCGAGTCTTTGTTTACACACATGCGGGCATGCAGCTAAAGTTGTTACAACGAATGCAAAAAGCCAAAAAAGTAGTTCTGAGATAGATGCAAGCATAGTAACCCATCATACGAGTGAACTTTACATTCTGGATCTTGCTATTTCACTAGAAAAAATCTAAAAAGAGATGGAAGATCACACCTGAAAGATGTTTAGTAGTCTAATCGTTAAGCAAAGGTAAACACATTTTGGCTCATCCTCGTTGTCCAGAACCACTTATTTATCAAATAAATTCCAATTCAAGGACAAAATCACAAAAATAACATGATTTATAAAAGCACCTTTTTACAAGAGAAATGCTAGTACACAGTCTTTACTATTGATAGAATTTGTTTAATGAGTTTTTGTACTTTTCAATAAATTTGAACCAATACAAGAGTGTCATGTCTCCTTCCTTGCAATAATAAAATTTCTAGAAGTGCCAAAATCTTGGCAAATATTACTAATTATAAACCACAGGTGCACAAAAGTGTAGTGAATGATTTATTATAAGTAAGAGAAGGTGGGAAATACTGACCCGGTACCCTGTTGACACAAGCTGCAAGCTTCTCTTGGACGATGCTTTCAGCCAAGTTCTTACCTGCAAAACCACCAACATACGTGAAAATGAAAGAAAGAAGAATTAAAAACTAAAGAAGTGAACATGTTCGGAGGCAATCCTAGAACCTGCTTCTTTGTTGGGAACAGTGACGTAGACAACAATGCTGGGGACAGTGGTGTTACTCCCTTCCATTCTGATGGTGGACTTGGTGTGGACACCCAATTTGGATCTGAAACAGAGACAATTGAATTGAATCCAGAGAAATTAAGAGAAAGTGAGTTATGTGGACGGTGTAGCGAGTACCGTAAGAGAGATTGAACGCACCCCGTTTTGAGGGCAGAGGAGTATAACGGTGTGTAGAGATTTGAGAGTCCCAAACTGAGCATGCAAAACGCACCGACTAAGGGAAGACGACGTCGTAGCGTGGAGGAGGAGAAAAGGGGCGAAGTAGAGATGGAGCAGAGTGTGGAAGCCATTTTGGGAAGTGGGGGTTCGGATTATCTTATATGCTGCTGCGCGTCTCTACCAAGCTCCCTCCTGCTCCTTTGCTTGATGCACTCTTGCTCACCTTCACAAGCTGCGTATCACGCTCCTGCTTCTGCCACCTGTATACTTCCCTATTTCTTTTTATTTTAATTTATTGAAATTACTAACACGTCACCAAAATTTCACTCTAGTTATTTCTCACATATTTATTTATCTAATAAATATTATTTATTACATCTCATACTTTATTCTTTTTTATTTTTCATTTTTTTTCTTAATTATCGTTTTTATCATCATTCTATTTGAAATACTGCCAGATAATCATTACAACATGGCTTATGATATATACACTTCTCATTTTTTTATAAATATACCTTCTATCTTTTTTTTAAAAATAAAATTTTTTAAATATTTTTTTAATTTAATTCTTATTTTAAGTTTTATTTTTAAAATTATTTTTTATTCACTCCTTTTTTTGATTTTTTTTTCATCATCATTATTATCTGTCTAGTCACACTTTGTTGATTTTATTCTTATTTCATTTTTTGTTCTTAATTTTTCCTCTTTAATAATTAACATAGTCATAGCTTATGTTTGTATCTTTTAAATTTCATTTTTTACTTTCTACTCTATCATTCTTTAAATCCTAATTTTCCACTCAATCTCAATCGTTCTCTATATTCAATACAAGGAAAAAAATTAATATATTAAATTATATTTTACATCTATAAGTATTTTTTGCAATTTATTTAATATTACTTGTGCACAACAAAAATAAATAATTAATTAAATTTTTGACATTATTTGGTTCGACAGTAGATGACGAAGAGTAGATAAAGGTATACTGATAATCTAAATTTGTTCATACGTTCGTTAAATTTGTTCATACTTTTGAAAAAGAAACTCTAAAGATTTTAGTGTTACCGAAATTACTTTTTAGAATTGGAAAATTTTTATTTCAGAAATAACTTTCTGAAAGTGAGTTTCTTACATAATTCCAAAAAATTTTTTTTCGAAACATTAACAATGTGTGCATTTGTTGCAATAATTTCATAAAGAACTTTTTGGAATAGTAATTTTAGTATTCGGAAAGTACTTTCCAGAATTATTCCGGTGGAAAGTTCTTTCCAGAATAGTAATTTTAGTATTCCGGAAAGTACTTTTCGAAATTATTTCGGCATAAAGTTCTTTTCAGAATAGTAATTTTAGTATTTCGGAAAGTACTTTCTAGAATTATATACAAACACACTTTCGAAAAATACTTTTCAAAATATAAATTTTTTTATTCCAAATAATATGAAGGATAATTTAAGAATTTAATATTTTTTTAAAAAAAAGGGAGTGTATATATAAAAAAAAATAGAGGTGTATATATGATCAGCCTTATATCATACGTTATTTGGCAAAGTAGCTCTGATCCACTGGGCTACTCAGAAACTCCAAAAGGCATGGCCCTCAAAGAAACAGAAAAAACTAAACCCAAAGACTCGGCCCATCTTGTACAAATCAGCGCCTGGCCCATACAAGCGGTAATAATCTGGCCCGCTACTAAATTCGCAAACATACAATTTATAAAATTATAAGGAAAAGAAAAACCATTTGGATAGACAGCAAACACTTATTTTTTAATGCACAGTCAAATTTACACACATGTTTTTGGCTCGGGGAAAAAGTATTGATGGAAAGTACAATAGAATAGTGAGTTTTTCCAGTTTTATAATTAAAAAGAAAATGATGTAAGGAAAACTATATATGAATAATTATTGGTTCCCAGTAATGGTTCTAAAATTAAAGCAAACAATAACACAGATGGATTTGAAGAAAGGAACCCATCTTCTATAAAGTGTCACATTTCAATTCAAAATTTGATTAAAAGAAGTGCTCATAAATAGTTTTCAATTATATCTCAAATAAAATTATTTTCTATCAAATATAAATTTGATTTTTTTTTTGACTAAGTTGAAATGCGAACTCAACTATAAATATGACTGAATACAATATAGAAGCTTAAAATAATAATAATAATAAAATAAAAACCTCCTTAAAAATCCAGATTGGATCCTTCAAATTTTAAAGTCCCATGTGAGCTCAGTTATGTGGAGCCCGCAGTAGCCCATTCCAAGAGAACTGCGTCACAAAGGATCCCCAAGTGACGTCACGTTGACGTGGATGAGATGATAAATTTTATGATTTTAAAATGTTTAAAATAGTTGGTAAGGTGGGATTGAAATTCATGCATGACCTCTACCTTCTATTTAAGCACCAAAGCCACAGTAAAAAATCAATATGATTAAGTACTTTCGTTTTATGGTAAATTCTCTTAAGGACCATTTATACAAGTGTTGCATAGGTGATGAATGAATAATTATCGTAAATATAATATTAAAAAAATTAACGGTTGAGATTATAATTTAATGAGTAAGATTTTAGAATTGTAGAGTAGTCCTTTGAAATTTGCTATTCTTCCATATTTTGTAGAGTTTCGTTTATGACCGTAACTGAGGTGGTAGCAGTTGGGGGTGTTTTCATTGTCTCAGTTCCCTGTTGGCAACCATGGGTGAAGTCCGTCGCCGCACGGGCGTCCTGTTTTGTTTGTCGCACTCGCAACCCGTCTGAAAATCCGTTTGAGTGATTTTTGACACCTAAACAAATGGGTTGTAAACAACGAAGCCTTTTGCAAATGACAAAGACATTATGCATTATTGGTGGCTATTTTAGTTTTCGTGAGCTGGAGATTTGAGGTAAAGGGTTTGTTGATTGTGGAGTCGGAAGAGTGGATTGTTGATGCGTTTGTGAAGGGCATTGCGCAGAAGAAGAAGATTGTCGTCGGTTGAACATCGTTGATGGATGATTTTTTGGTTTTGTTGTTTGTTTACATTTTTGTTTGGTTCTTTTACCTTTTTATTTGTAATTTTAAGATAACATATGTGGTGCTTTAGAGGTTGGTGAATGTAGCTTTAGAGTTTGGTTTTGTTGATAATTGGGTTTAGGGTAATGGTATTGTTGGTTGAGCATTGAATTATGTTGGTTACTCCATTTCGTCCCTTTTTTCTAAAAATGTTATTGACAAATTTCATGTTTTTTAGATTTGATTATATGAAATTTAGTTTTAGATGAATCGTAACACAGTGGGCATGGTATGCAGAGAACGCGAAGTCAGGTTGAGGAAATGCAGTCTGAGGTTGTATTTTACAGAGATGATGTTGGTGGGGCATTTGAGGAAGTTTAGGTACCTTATTGTTTTAGGAAGTTTATGAAGTTGATCCATCATTTTGTGTGTATACGTTTGTAATGTTGTTTGTCCCCCCATAGATTGTTAAACACAAAATTTCGTTAGTTGAAGCAGAGAATGCAGAGATACAACGGCAGCTTAAAGAACGTCGAATAAGTTGTGAGACTTTATGAGCAGGTGGTCGTGATGGTTAGGTCTTTATGTAATAATTAATGTTGTGAATTGTTGTAGAATGTTGGGTTTGTTAGCAGAATACAAATTTTGTGATAGGTTTCCAACTCCTTGATGAATGAGGTGTGTAGCAGAATACCTTATTTTGAGGTGTGTTATTAATAATTACAAAACTTGTGGGAAAATTATTTGATGGTTTAAGGAGAATGGTGTTTAAAACTGAGGTTGATTATATTTGTCTGCTTAAAGAAGCGATGATTAGGAATTATAAATGATATTTAGCAGTTTCATGAAATGAAGATATGTATTTGTTAGTTGATATTGTATGTTAATTTGTTGAAACGTGAAATTGAACATATTAGTTAGTATCGATTTGTTATCGGAAGTATATATTTTTTGGGTTGGTTATGTGAAATATGATAGATAGGTTATAGTTATGGTCAGTTGTGTCGTAAAGTGTGGTTTAAGTTAGAATGTGGTTACAGTTGAAGAACATGTAGGATGTAAAAACATTTAGAAATGAGACTCGTTGCATGTATTTTGCCTGATGTGGAAAATTGAATCAGGTTACGGTATGTTGGTGGAAGCAGTTTGAAGTTGCATTATGTCGTTGTAAATATAGATATTTAAGATATTGGTTTGTTAAATTTTCATAGTTCTTAATGGGGTATGGATTTGTGCATGTTTGTAGCAGATGAAATTGGTATTTAGGTATTGATTGGAAGTTGTTAATGGCACAAAAAGTGTTTTAATAATGTCAGTAATGAATACTTATTTTACTGTTAAGCATTAAAATAATAAAAAACATGTGATTAAAAATGGATTCGTGTGTTTTTGGATGTAGAATATAATAAAAAGCATGTTTAAATACTACATTAAAAGTAGAATTATATTGGATTCATTGCATTTAATAAATCACAAAATATGATACACAAAAATGTGATTGTTTGGGTGAGTCTTTGAAACTTGCGAAGAAAGGTACAATTATATTGGATTTGTTGCAATATATATATCCAAAAAAAGGAAGCAAAAAATAATTGGCCAAGTGATAGTAATTTTTGCATCCAGAATAAGGATCCAAAAATGTGCAGCATAGCACATGATATTAATCCTAAATCTGTAGTTTCATTCCTGAAGTTGTTTGTCTGAATTGAATTTATGAAAGTCCAATATTTTGACAGAATTTTGCAGCTCTGATGTGGATGGTGCGTTTACATTCATTATGATCACCGAAAACCAAATCTAACGCAATTTTCATTCGAACAATTTCTTCATCAAGGCTTTGAAAATGTGACATTGTTTGACATAAATTAATATGCATATGTAAAATAAAATGTAATTTGAATTGTATTGCATTATTTGCTCACCACTTTGATTAAGTTTGGTTGAAATGCATATTCCATATCCATCCATTGTAAAACCCAAATAATAGAGTTGTTACTGTTATGCATTGGAGAAAAAAATTTGTCAATGTAAAATTGATTATGAAAAACAAATGTAAAGTAAATTAGTATTGGTTACCTATGGCCACAATTTGGAACTGTCCTTCCTTGCAAAATATCCCAGCTTTCTCCATGTACTAATTCTTTAAGAAAATCTTGAGGATAAAAACTTGATTCCATCATTTGTATTACGACATTGGACTGAAAGAGAAAAAAAGTATGTATGAAATTGATAGTGAAATTAGCATGGTTGATTTACTTGGAGTTAATTGTGACATACAATTCG